CAGCTGGAGAAAATATAAATGTGGAATTTGCTGCCAGAGTATACAGTGATGGTCACAGGCACAGACAGCTTTAAAAAGGGATCAGATTTTTGGAGAGAGAACCTCCATGTCCAGAGCTATCCAGCCTCTGAATCCCAGAGCCAGGAGGCAATGTCAGGGGAAGGCCTTGGCCTCTATGCCCTGTTGTTAGCCCTCCAGAGGAACTGGTTAGCCACTGTGTGAGACAGGATGCTGGACTCAATGGACTACTGATCTGATCCAGCAGGGCTCTTCTTATGTTTTAAAATTAATTTTCTCCAGCTCAAAGGGGTAATGGTGGGATGGTGTCAGAACCCACAGCCAACAACGAAGTACACACATTCAGGAACAGTTATACTTTTATTGCAGAGCTATAGATGCAGTAACATAGGCACTGTTAAGAATGGCGGCGGCCCCATGGGCATAATAGGATATAGGGTATTCATATGCACCCCCCCCCCACAGTACTGGCCAATTAGGCGGCCTCCCGTGCGCGGGCTAAGGCTTAGAGACTGTTAGGTAGCTGAAGCTGAGAACTAACACTCTCCCACGGCACCTAATGAAATCCCAGACACTACAACACCCTCCTGCACATCTGTATAGATAAGCGTTTTGGCGCACAGCAGAAAAAGCACAGAAAGGAATGCAATAGCAATTAACCTGAAAGGAAAACAATAGCAATTACCCAGACACAGACCGACCTCCCCAACTTTCATGGCAGCATAGCTGACAGATGGATGCTCCACCCATAGCCACAGGGATAGAGGGGGGTGGAAGTGAGTTTCATATCCCCCCCTTTCCTTTCTGTGCCAAGCTGCACTGTAGCATTATAGATAGCATGGCAAGAACCAGAGCAAGTGGCACTGCTTCTGCCCATTTTTGCCCCACTTACAGCAGCTGCTGTGGCGAGGTTGTTTTCATGCCTGTACAGAGAAATAGCCTATGCTAGGTTTCTTTGTTGGGCCTACCATCACGCTTGACCTATAAATGGAGGTGCATGCATTTCTCTTGATTGTACTCCAAGGATGGCCTTTGTAACTGGAACAACCTTGTGTTCTTCTAGGAAATGCTGCTGTCACTTCACAGCCTGCTAGTATTTCTATCCACCAGGGAAGTAGTTTTTTCCTTCAAGATGACCTACATTTTGGGGTTTAGTTGTTCCTCGTGTTTTAAGCTTCACGGTGAGGAGAATCCCTTCTTCACCCACGATTTCCTCTTTATTTCCCTGTAAAATATTTATAGCAACAAGCATCTCTCTCTTGAGCTGCCCTTGCTCCAGGCTCTGTGTTCAGTGAGTTCCCTTCTGATATTGGAGTTATTCTTCCAGACTGTCAGGCTTTTTAATGTTTCACATGGTTGGAACTGGTGGGGCAAAGTGATGCGAGTGTGGATGGGTAGCCCTGGGTGTCAGAATTCCACTAGAGCTAGCACCCCTTCCCAATACCAAGTTGCCTCGATGAGGTATTGCTTGTGGATTAGCTGTACAGCCTGTCTCTGAAGAGGCAGTATATAATTTTTCTAAATAAATAAAAGCTGTTCAAGTTGGGACAACCTAACAAAAATCATGCCCACGTTCCTCAGCTGCCAGACTGATTATCAGTCTGATAGCTAAACTGTTATCTTTATGCTATGGAGTTGAACAACTGACATAATCAATTAATTGCTGTTAAACATTTGACAAACCAAAACTGTAAATGAACCAGCCCCATACCATTTCTACTCTCATGGTAACAGGATCTGCTAGCTTCCGGATATTTCATCTAATTCAACCAGTGAAGGCACTTTTATTTCTGTTCATTTTCTGTGGAAAAGGACACAGTGATGATTTGCAAGTGACTGAAGGAGGTGGTGGTGAAATGCAGAACAGAACCAAGTAATTCAGCATGCTTTAATAAGCAGTAGGCAGTAGTTCATAGATGTGTCGATATGAACTAAGCCCTTGAAAACACAGTCAGAATTCCATCATGCCAATGGCAGGGTGCTTGTTTTAAAAACATGCAGATGATGCCTAGCTAGTGGCTGCTCTGGACTGGTAGTTAATGAAGATGTTTTAAAGTGTGTGCACACACGCACACTGCAAATAGACCTGAGTGAAAGGCATACATGGAAGCTTTGGGGAGGCAGCCCTGCTGCCCTTTTGGTATCAGGGATAAGGGCAACCTGGCAAACCAGGGCTCCGGATCCTATTACTACTCAGTGCATGCTCTCACACTAAATATAGAGTGGAGCCAGTCCATTGTGGGAAGAGTGTGTTCACAGCTAACCATACCAGAGACCATCAGTACAGGACGTGGCATTACTGAAGGCATATGGGAGGACCTTTCTAATTTCTTTGGGGCCCTGCTTTCTTTCCCTTCCTGAGTTCATATATATAATTCTTTGGGCTGCTTTTCCAGGATGAAGGAAATGCAACTTTGTGGCAGTTAGGTTGCCACTCTGGAAACATGTCTGCTGGAGAAAGCATGGTTACTATGCTCTCTGTATGCTACTGGTTCTTGGATATACTTTGGCTCGCTTTCGTGGTCTGGCTGTATTTGATCATTTAAGTTGCTGCCAGTGGCAGTTGGCGTCTCATTCCTTCTCTGTGTTCTACTTCTGCGGGTGTTCCTGGGCTCCATATTCTACCTGTATTTCTGATGATGCCCTGTTTTGAAAAACAGCCATTTGTGTATTTCTCCACCGCCAATAATAGGAGGCTGCATCCCCTGTTAACTGTCCCCCTTTCCCTGCTATAATTTCTTCTGATGTCTTTCACATGTATGGGGGGCAAAAGAGGAACAACCTCCTACCTGTAGGTGTGATAAGGAGTGTGTTTATATGCAAGTGTCTGAAGCATAAAGCGGCTCTCAACCCAGGTCTAGTATGCACCAAAATTACCAGTGTCTTTAATGCCTTCATAGAGTCTTACTGTTTTTCCTCCTGTTGGTACACCCTCCTTTATTGCTCTCCTTTGTGGCAGAAGAATTTGTGAAGGAAAAGGGGTGGGGGGTGAGAGATGGGGGCAAAGAATCTAAAAGTAATTACAAAGGACCCATTTTGATGAGGTTATCTCTTGAGACCTCATGCCTATGCAGGGTGTCCCCAATAAATACACTAGTTTAGAAGCTGTGGTTTTCTGTCATCTGCCCTATCCATTTTTTGACCATTGTGCCTGTTTGTTTCAGGATGAGATTGAGGAGCTACGTGCTGAAATGCTGGAGATGAGAGATGTCTACATGGAGGAGGATGTCTACCAGCTACAGGAGCTCCGGCAGCAGCTGGACCAAGCTAGTAAGACCTGCCGCATCTTGCAGTACCGCCTGCGTAAGGCAGAACGACGCAGTCTCCGTGTGGCACAGACTGGCCAAGTGGACGGAGAGCTCATCCACAGCCTTGAACAAGATGTCAAAGTAAGTTGTCAGTTGCAAATTGTCTTATTTTACAAGAGAGGAGTCACTTGAATGGGTTGAGTATTAGGAGCAGCTTTGTCCTGTACCGTTTCATTGGTCCATGCAGATCAGTAATGCTAACTGCATCTCTCTAAGCAGTGACCTTTCCCAATTCTGATAACCAGGGATTGGTCTTCAGATCTGCACATAAACCATGTGCTGTTACTGAGCTGTGGCTCCTGTATGTTTCACAATTCAGTTATCTCACCGCACAGTCGAAACATTTGGTATATGGTACAAAATTCAGCATCCTGAGATGTTCAGCACTTAAAACAATTCTAGCTCTTCAAGTCTGTGAAGTTTGTAGGAAAAGTGCTGTTTTGGCTTATGTTGTGTTTTATGTTTTTAATATTTTTAGTGTTTCTGTTGATTTTGTCTTAAGTCACTTTTGAGCAAAATGTATGGAAAAGCTACTAGCTGAGTGAAATCTCAGAAGAGTGGGTGGGCAGAGAGGAGCAGGACTTTAGGAGCCATATATCCTCATAACTAACACAAACAGAATAAAGCATGTCAGATGTATGCAGATGTGACTGATAATGCGTAGGAAGTCCAAGTTTGATCTTTTGTTGGTGCAGAGCTTGAGTTCCCGTATCCACAATTCACTAAAATCCAATAAAACTTCTTTCTGGTTCAAGCCTTTTCTGTGGTGAGGCAGCTAGAATTTAGCCTGCTTGAAATGCTGTTGGGAGTAGGCTTCCTTCAGCTCCTGATTCCTGGCAAGTTTATGGTATAATTTTGAGCTGGCCAATCCTGGGGTTTCTGGGGAGGGGCTGTGTGTAAATTGGTCTCACCCTCCAGGCTGCAGTCTCAAGTTGCAGATTCTTGGCCTCTCCCTTCACCTAGGAAAAGAGACTTGATTTTCTCTTCAGAACCTTGCATTTTTCTTTCTAATGAGCTTTAGAATGGTAGTTTACTCTCACAATGGCCTTGTGAGTTTTGGTTAGGCTGAGAATCACATCTAGTGTATGGAGGTTTCAGCCTGGGGCGTAACCTCTCTGATCACTGCATCACATTGGGATAGTTGAAGCTTGGATCACACCTCACAGCTATTATGTTGTCCTCTAAGCACTGAGTCTGTCCTTGTGTTCTTGCTCTGGTTAGACATGGCATCCCTTTCAGTTGCAGCTGGTCATCTCCTTCTCCCTACTCCAGTCTGTACTCTTTTCCCATTGCATGGCCTTTAGGCTTCACGGGGAAGGGCTGGTTATAAAGGATATGCTTTCTTGTCAGTTCATTTTACAGTCCTGGAGCTAAGCAGCTGACCAGAGAGAGTCTGATTCCCTCCCTTGAGCTGCCTGAGGGGCCTTCACATGTTGATTGTACAGGCCAGCTGGGTGGTGCATATGTTGCTCCAGCGTGGCACTTTCTTGGCATTACAAGGCAACACAGCCTGTTAGAGGAATGCCTCCTCTCTTGCTGCCTCCCAGGCCTGTAGCTTTGGTCTCTTGGCTGTAGCTTCTTTAGCTAATGGTTTAGGTATTCAACAGGGGACAGAAGTGCAAACAGCTGGGGTGGGAAAAAGGGCAGGAACAGTGTGTCAGAGAAATGACAAAAGCCTGCCTAGTGTGGCTGGGCACAAGGGGAAAAAATAAAGACAGATTAGGCTGCTTGATGAGGCAGGCTTAGGGGCTACACTGCATATGCATCACCAGGGAGTCCTTTTGACATGATTACAAATGTGGGAATATTTAGCTCCAGAGCTTTAGCCCTTTGAACTTTCCCTGACAGTGACTTGCATAAACATCCTGTACAAATAACATTGCCTAGTATAGGTGATTTCAAAACAGTTGATTTAGATTCTTCCAGATCCTTGTTCTCCACTTTCTGGGTAATTATGAATCTGCAAATTCATCAGAACTCTTGGTGATGCCATCGACCACTCGACAGGATCTTTGTGTGCGGACTGCATCTCCTTGAGAGCAGGTGTAATTCAGACTGAATTACATGCTGTGTTGGAGATCTGTGATTGAATCTGTGCAACGTGTAATTTAAACGGAAAGAGCAGCTGTGGGAGGTTCAACATGCATTTTTGTCAAACTTTTTATCGAAGCAACAATATACATCAATTTAATGCTCTGTAAGTACATACATACATCAAAGTGTAAAAGCCAACAAAAAAGAAATAAAATAAACTTTTATATTTTCTATCAAATGTCCATTTTTAATAATCTGATACCAAATTTCAGTATTTTTGTTCACAGATTTAATTTTTAAAGTTCCAACCAGCCTTATACAAAATAAGTCTTTTACGTTTAATCCATTCCCCTTTGTTTGGTGGGTTAGTTTTCTTCCAGTATTTTGCAAAGAGAATATGAGCAACCTTGATGGTATATAAAGTAGTATATGTGCACAACTGAGAGCCATATAACAACTGTGTAGTAACCTTGGCCACAAAGACACTCAAAGGTGAAGGAACATGTTGGCTACCTCTAGTGTAAATATTTTCCCCCCAGAGCAGAAATGCTTCTGTGGACATTCCTAACCACACTATTTGAGTGTGCCAAAACCCAGAAGAACGAAAAACCACACCTAAGAACTTAAAGCATGCCACCTGCTCAATAACATTCCCGTTAATTATCTATCTGTTCTTAGGCCTTCTTCTGGAGAACACTGCTGTTTAGGACTAACTGTAGTTAATAGTCAGAAGATGATTATCACAGAGAGCCAGTTTGGTGTAGTGGTTAAGTGTGCGGACTCTTAATCTGGGAGAACCGGGTTTGATGGTTCGCCCCCCAACGAGCCAGGCCTTCAGGGGAGCCCAGGGAGGGGCACGGCGGTGGCAACTAAGACGCTCCACGGCCGGCTTCCCCCCGCCCGCCTGCCCAGCGCACAGCCGGTGCCAGCGGCACACAAGCCACCTCCCGCCTTCGCCCCTCTCCCCTGCCTGCCCGCCCGCCCAGTACAAACCCAAGCCGGCACCGAGCCAGCTCCCCCCTTTTCTCTCTCCCCCCTCTAACTCTCTCTCTCTCTCTCTACCTCCTCTTCTCCATTCCTCCCTTCCACCCGCCCTTCCTTCCTATCAAGGGCTCATTGTCTACCGCCACAACGGGATTTGCTTACTAGTACTGGTATGAGACAGCAGGACTGCATTATCTGCGTAATGTAAAATTGAGAGTGGTCTAGAGGCCAATGTAGGAAGATGAAAGCTGGGGTCAGAAACTGTTAACCATTGAGTTCATATAGAAATTGAATAAAGTGGGTGCCAAAATACAGCTCTGTAACACCGTTATAAGTAGTAACAGAAACTGACAGATGCCCGGCACAGTCACAATTAACCGGAAGCCATGGGGTTTTGTATAGGTGATGGATAAGAAGCCATCTATCTATATTGGACTTCTCAAATTTACTCCACAGTCTAGATCAAATGCTGACTTAAAATCAATGAAATTTGCATAGAGTACTCTACCTACCAAGACCTTGATCTACTGTTGAACGGCCTGCTCTGAAACCAGCTTGTTCCTCCTTTAAAATATTTTCAAGATCTAGCCAGTCCAGTAACTTCCTCACATATAATTTAGTAAGGTACTCAATAAGCTGATTAGGCTTATTTTGACATATTATTGCTGTGTTTTCCAATGCATCCATTGGGAGGAGGGTGAAGAATCGATGCTCAATACTGCTATTTGCAGCCTTCCCCTGTAACTTTATGCACAGTAAGCCCCTCTGCTTGCATTTGTCTTACCTCACTAACAGTAAGCAGAAGCAGCCTCTCCACTTGCAGTGACCCGCCATTGTTTATGTTGCTGCAGAGTGCTTTTGCATTGTGGCAAATGGGAGCAAAGTCTGAGGCTGAGCCAAGCCGAGGCCTTACACAAAGGAGAGGGTCTGCTGCCAAGTGCCCCAGGCACCAGAATGTGGCTGATCCTGGAAACGAAGGCTGTCACAAGTGATTGATGGTCTCCGCCCTAGCATCCAACATTAACTGCTCTATAATTAACAGGATATGCTTGCATGGCTGCTTAAAAGCAGGGATAGCTGCCACCCCCCCCCCTTGAGGATTAAAAAAATGCATAGTGAGATGCACTGCAATGATGTCAGAACTCTTGATTGGCATCCTCTGCTGCCTCTTCCACAGGCACAATTCTGCCCTTTTTGGTGTTGTAGTTCAGAGCTGTTGATACGTGAGAATTCTGGATCTAGCCACCTTAGGGGGTGGGGTGTCACAATCATAGGCCTATAATAGTGTGGCCTACAGGCTCTAGGGAGGCCTAGTGGCTCCAGGAAAGCCAGGAAAGTACTAGAGCAGCTATCAGGGCCTACATTTCCCAGGTCTCCTTTGGACCCTGTGATTGGTTAACAGGGGATTTGGAGGGAAAGCTTACCCCAGTAGAGGAGTAGAGGGTGATGCGTGGGAAGAAGAAATCAAAGGCCTTGCCCAAAGTCAAAGGGTGTTCCCTCCTAGGAAGCAGAGTTGGTCTGAGGGATCCCTCATCCAAAGGGGGCGAGTCACCTTGAGGCCAAATACCTAGAGAAGGCTAGGTCAAGTATAATCAGATGCGTTAGGGTTCCTTATTTTGCTGGTTTTACCTACCTTTACTGT